TCTGGGACACTGCAGAAGAGACTCCTGAATACGAAGGACCACGTGACTGACTTCTCCCCAGAGGACTTCTGGTGCAAGGCCCTTCTCTCTCACTGGTACTTGTACTGTAACAGATCCCACCACCTAACTCTGAGCTGGAGAGTCCATACCTGTGGGGCAGCAAGCGCCCGGACCTTGCTGGGCAGAGGGGTCCCACCAAGGGGGCTGCAGTGTGGGCACAAGACGCGCTTGAGGACAGAAGTAATACCCAGGCCTAGCTTTGGGCCCGCGCTGAGGGTCGGGGAAGGAAGAGTGGGACCACCCTGCTGGGAGGCTCACCCTTTCTTGTACAGAGCAGCCTTCACCAGAGGCTGTTCCTGCCTCCAGGACTTTGACCAAGTGTTCAGCCCACTGTGTATGAGGAAGAGGTTAGAAATCTGCAGCCACAAAGATGAAAGACGCCCTGGAGTGTGGTGGTGAGGGAGGAAGTGTCCTGTGCTGTGGAGGCGAAGGCAGCCTGTGTCCGTTCACAGGAGTTGCTAACTACGCAAGGCTGAGGCAGGCAGGCCTGGGTCCCGAGTTTTCCTCCTCCTGCTCTTGAGTCTTGGGGTTCTGTGTTTTTCAAATGGGGGAGATGAAAGTCCCTTGCCTGCCAGTTCTGTGGCAGAGGTTAAATGAGGCGGGACGCGTAGCACCCAGGCCTGCCTGACTCTGAAGTCCGCGTTCCTGTCGGTGCCAGTTTCTAACAGCTTGTCCTTGCTGAGAGCTGGCTGGCAGGAATCAAAAGGCGGGCTTCCCTTTCTGTTGCCAGTTCCCTGGGTGACCAGGGTCAGCTGATTGAGTCCCTGCTGCCTTGGAGCCAAGTTCAGAGTTTTCCAGATCCATCCGCAGATCCATGTTCCTCCTGAGAACCAGCTGAGAGCTCGGCAGAAGCCAGGTCACCGGAGAATGGCAGGCATTGCCCTCTGTACCTAACAACAGAGGAGGCTCTGGAGGGGCATGGCATGGTCGGAGACCAGGCAAACTTCTGCAAGGACGGGGCAGAGGCATGGCCCTGGAGGACTGTGAGCTTGGGGCAGAAGACCTCCTGTAAAGGGCTCTTGCATGTGAGGACCAGGGACCAGCCCCAGCTGGAGCCCCTTCCAACCGCATCCTAGGGCAGCCCAGGGACCCACCTTCCGTCCTCTGCCCTGCTCACTGCCCCTTCCCTTCTCCTGGCCGGCTGTGTGGCTCTTAGGGTTTGAGTGAAAGCCACTTCCACAGAATTAAAACATGGGAAATTTCCCAAGGGGAATGTGGTCCCCCAGCCCCTGTCCCGCCACCCACCCATGGAGACAGCCATCGCACACATCCTTTCCTCCCCAGCCCTCAGGTGGACATGTGTGGCTGCTTGGGATGTGTGGGTGGTGGTGTGCGAGCCTGACAGTCAGTGGGGGTGAACGCGTGCTGGACCTCCACTCAAACCGCCTCCCGAGATTAGCTCTGAGACACCGTCACATACATCTACTGCCCCTGCGCAGAACTCAGCTGCAGTAAAGAAGCACTTTTCAGGTGGCCTTCTGCGTCTGTCCCCACTCCTGCAGGAGGTGCTGCGCAGTGTGTCTGCAAGGCCCACTGCTACCTCCCCCAGCCCCAGCACAGTGCCACACAGGGAGGTGCTCCACACGTGCCTGCAGCACACACAGGTACTGTTCCGAGCTCGCGGATTTAGACAATAAAAAAGTCACATTTGGAGAGAGTGAACCATAGGCCTGGCCCTGGGGTTTCTCTCCCTCTACTGTCTTCATAAACAGAAAGTGAAGGAGGAATTGTCACCCTGACACCTGTCAGCCAAGGTCCCAAAGTGCAGAGACTGTCCACTGTCACAGCCCTTGTCCTCAGCCCCGGGCTCCCCTCTGTGGCTCAGTGTCTGTTATTGGAGGGTTAGGAACAGACCACCTGCTTCACAGGTGGGCCAGGTGGCCCGGCTAAAAGTGCACTCAGGGAAGGCCAGCCTGCATTCCTGCTGCACGTGACCCCCTCAAGCAGCTGCGTGTCTTGGAGGCGGAGGGAGAAACCCCATCAGCTCAGCCTTTACCAGCCTGCCTGGCAGTGGCTCATGTATGGTGTCGCTTCCCTGTGTGGCTGTGCCTGGAAGTGAAGTGTCATCCACAGAAGAGAAACTCCATTTCACTTCCCCCTGAAAAAAGGAGCCCTGGACACAGTCTGACCAAATGGGGAGACACCAGCCCCTGGTGGTTGCTGTTTCGGTGTTCGTGCTGTCTGGGTGCAGAGAGCAGCCCTCCAGCAGCCCTCTCCTGGAGTGTCCTGGAGGAGCAGTTGGGGCAGCGGGCCATCGGGCAGGCCTGGGTGACCCCCACCTTCCAGTCCCCATACTGTCACTGGAGGCAAGATAGGAGAGAGGCCTTCCTGGCTCACCCCGGCTCAGCTCCTGGCAGCACAGGTTCTAATGGCAAATCACAAGGACCCATCAGGAGGAGGGTCCCCTGAGGCCCTGGAAACTCAGCACTGTGCCAGTGTGGTCAAGGAACCCTCTTCCTGGCCCCTGCTGGCGGTGGGGCAGGTGAGAGCTGGAAGGAGAGGGATGGAGAAGCCACCTCTAGAAGACTAGAGGACACCACCCAAGGCCACCAGAGGCCAGGCTTGCCAGAGGAGCAGGAGGAAGGAGGGTGTTCCTGACGGTGCGCATGGGACGCCAAGGTGGAGCAAGGTGGGCCTGCCATTTTCAGGACCAGGACCCTCTCACTGGGTCATTGTAGCTGTTTCTGGAAGTGTTGTTTCAGGGAACAGAAAACAACCCAAACCCACAGGCAGAAGCGAGGCCAAAGCAGCAAGGCCAGGTCACCACATGCCAGGACAAGGACAAGCCAGCTAGGATGGGAAGTGTCCAGCAGACTTCCCCACACAGAGCTGGTGTGGCCAGAGGGGGTCTGCAAGATGCATGGAGGCCCTGCTGTGACTGCCCCTGAGTGCAGCGCATGGAGGCCACCCCAGGTGAGATGCAGAGCGAGCCACCTCTTCACTGCTGAGGCTGCAGTGGCTGGTGATGCCTTTCAATGGAGATAGGAAATCTCCCTCGCGGGTAATGGAGAGGAGGACCTGCTCTTGAGAAATGCTCCAGAAAGTGCCTTTCCTGAGGGTGCTAAGGCAAGATGGGAAGACACAAGAGGAAGTAGTGAAGCGCACACCCACACAGCTGCGGGCTGCGCCGACAGGAAGGAGCTGGGCGAGCAAGCGTCTTTTCTCATACACACACACACACACACACACAAAAAAAAAAAAAAAAAAAAAAAAGAGTGGAGAAAGCCATTGCCAAATCCGTATGACAGGAGGACGAGATGCCATGCACGCTGGGTTATTTCTGTCAGCTCTCCAGAATGCTTGGGAATGTCTGATATAAAATGCTGGGGACATTAGAGGCACCTCTCACCTACCACTCAGATGGACCTCCAGTGCCCAAGATCCCAGGATGAGCTCCACTTAGAGGATCCCAGCATAGGAAAACAGCGTGCATATGTATACACACTACCTGTCCCTGTACTCTTCCTGTTACAGAGACCAGAGGGAATGGGGGAGGGATGGAGGAAGGGAAGGGAGGATGGGTGCAGGAAGGAAGGACTGAGGGATGGGTGACAAGGAAGACACAGGGGTGGGGCAAGGTGGAAAGGATCCGGCCCCTGCCCTAGATGGTTCCCTCTCCAGTGTGGGGACAAGACAAAGCCATGGTAACAGTACAGAGTGGCAGGTGCTCAGAATCTAAGTGCAGGGGACATTGCTTCTTCCTCCAGCATCTAGGAGACAGTCACCTGTACTGAATCATGGAAGGTCAGGAGCTGAACTAAGTGTAGGCAAAGGGGCCCCAGGTGTGGGGATGGCCAAGGCAGAGGCAGGAGAGAGAGGCTGCTGTGCCCGGGGGTGCTCAGTTGCCTTAATGGTGAAGCTGAGACAGTGCATGTGCGTTTGGTGAGAGGCAGTTGGAAAGAGCTGGACGTCTGCTCTGATCCAAGAACCGGCATTAAAAACTGGTCAAAGGAACTAAATTGAGTGTGCTGAGCAGCTGTCCATCGCGATGACAAAGTACCTGAGATAATCAACTTCAAAGGGAAAACGGTTTATGTTGGCTCACAGTTTCGGAGGTTTCGTTCCAGGGTCCCTTGGCCCTGTTGTGGGGTCCCAATATCCCTTTCAAGGGCACACCCCCAAGACCCAGTTTCTCCCACTGAGCCCCACCTCGAAGGATCCAGTACTTCCTAATAGGACCACGCTGGAGACCCCGCCTTCCATAACATGGCCTTTGGGGGGCACTTGACCAAACATTAGTCCTGAGATTGAACCCAGGCTGTGCTGCTAATTGGGAGTGTGATGTCACCTGGTCCCTGTGAGCCTTGCTCTCCTGGACGTTGTGTGGAGTGGATGACTCCCCCCCTCCCCTGTGAGGCTGCTGTGCAGGTCAGTCGTGTTTAATATGCATGTGTATTTGTGCACTGTCCCTGCACTGATGCTCCCAGTGTTTCCATTTCTTGCCACTTGCAAACCTGCCAGCACAGATGTCCTTGCCCAGGGACTCCTGTGTTGGCTTGCATTGCCACACACTGGCTCCAGAAAGAGTGGGCTGAATCTAGTTACCTGAGAGACGTCCATGATGCACTGGGGATTTTAAAAGAAACCAAGGAAGGGAAGTTGCAGAGTAATGCGCAGGTGTGTTTGGACCCCTGCTTGCTTACAACAGAGGCACAGACACAGTCTAGGGGCCCCCTCACACCAGATGGCCAGCGCCCGTCACCTGGCAATGTAAGTGCCTGGGTGTGTCATGGCCCAAGGGCCAGTCTTTGCTGCCTGTATCAAGGATGCTTGGTTTACTGCACTGAACACTGGATGTTTGAGAAAACGTTGGGGAGAGTGCCCTTCACATAGGCTGTGATGGTGACAGTGATGATTCTTTCTTGTGGGCAAAAGGGAGCCATTGGAAGCTGATATGCAAGTTGGCAACGTGACCCTCTAAGGTGGTCATCCTCCCACAGGTGTAAGGGGAATGAGCCCTGCCTGAAGACCCCTGCCTTCACCGGAGGTCCCCCCAGACTGCTGGGGCACTGGGCTTAACACAGCAATGGCTGGGAGCAACTCCTTGGAAACTCCATGAAGGAAAGAAGCACAGCTCTTGACAATGGGACCTGGTCCGCATGGCACCCGGTCCCCCCAGCACCTGGTACCCCCAGTACTAGGAGCGGCACCCAGAGCAGCACCTGGTGTGGTGAGATTCTCCAGGAAATACCTGTTGAAGCATATCAAGGGAGTGAAGAGAGGGAGGAAGGGAAAGGAAGAAAGAAGAGGGGAGAGGGAAAAGAAGGAGGAGAGGCAGGGAGAGGAGAGGAGAGGCCAGGAGAGGCAGGGAGAGGCCAGGAGAGGAGATGCTAGGAGAGGAGAGGCAGGGAGAATTTCTGATTCCTTCGAGAGGTTGGTTCACTCAGATCTGAAGCTTTCCCTGAACACTGAAATGCCAGCCCAATGCCAAAATGGCAATCTATACTCAGCTTTTAATGAAACTCAGAGAAATCTGATCAGAAACAGGGATTCTTAAAAAAAAAAAAAAATCCTATTGCTACCCCTCCAAAGTTAACTAAGTGTGGCAGTGGGACTCCTGCTATTTGGGCCACTTTTATACTGAACAGCAGACCTTCTAAAACTAGTGCCCAGAGGCCAGCTTACAGGGCCAGGTGGCCACGAGGGCAGCAGAAGGCGATCAGGAACGTGATTGCTGCCCCTGTCAGTCCTTCTCATTCAATGGTGCTTCTCGTGTCAGGATGCAAAGCCACTCCAGACGGGAGGCTGAGGGAGGTCAGCTCCTGCCTCCCGGAGACTAGCTTGCTTCTGGCATGGCTTCTGCCGGCCACTCCATTCTGGCACTGTCCGACCTGGGGACATCCCCTGCTGGCTGCTCTGGAGTATGGATGTGCCTGAGGAGCCCAGGAACTGGCACAGCCTTGGCTTGTTCTGCTGGAAGCAGAATGTGGCCAACAGAAGGAGTCTTGGAGATTCCCTGGTGACCAGGGACTCTCATTTAACCAAGAGGCATTGTGTGTGCAGCTGTTTGATTGAAGTGATCTTTATAGGAGGGAGGGAAAGAAGGTTCCAGGTTTTTAAATCATTGGAAAAAGCCGAGAGAAGATTTTGCGACACTTGAAAGGCACATGGCCGCATCCTCCTTGAGGTTTTATCGGAGCACAGCCATGTTCTCTTGAATGTGGCACGGTTGAATCTTTGTGACAGATGCCTTACTGGCCACCAAGCAAGAAATATACCACCTGCCCTTTTCCTGAAATTTTGTTGGCCCCTAGCTTAAAAGTGTGATGATGTTTTGTCACAACAGCAGCACCAGACATGGCTCTCAGCACTTTCAAGAGCAAACCGAGTGCTTCTGTCCATTCATCCATTCAGCCTGCCATTCATTCATGGGATGCTACCTATCTGTGGGCTCTGGAACCTGGAAAGAGACAGACCGGTGCAGTCCCTGTTCTCCCGAAGCCGAGAGCCGGTGCCCAGGTCCTTCCTCTTCTGTATAGATATTCCTAGCCCTTCCCACAGTTTCCCCCAGGATATGGTGCATCCTGCTCCTGCCCTCCCCGCCCTGTACCCTGATTGCTCCAGTCTCTGCAAAGCAAGGCACCCAGATGGGCCCCACGCCCCCAGAGTCCTGCCAGGGGACGCAGGGCTAGAAACTCACCTTGAATGCCCTTGGGCTCCTGGTCTCATTTCAGAGGCTCAACACTTGCCCTTCACTTTTTCAGCTCCTGCTCTAGTCGCCCTAGAAAGAGAGACCACCCGTCCTCGACCCAATAACATGGACAGAAGTGGGTGCCGGCTACGGAGAAGGATACCACTACGTCTGTGTGAGATCCCTCCCACATAGAATCAAGGCCACCTCAGTGCCGCACTCTGGTGCCTCTGTCCCCGTGCAGAGCCTGGAGATTGGAGAGCTATCGCAGCCCTGGGAGGAAGCTGGCTCGTCGGGAACCTCTGGAGCTTGAGCGCCCCAGCCTGGCTTCAAGTCCCCGCCCTTGGCTCTTCGTTATTCAAATCCATGCCCCACACCTATGGGACTGCTTGGTTTATTTCTAGAAAACAGTGTTGGGTCATTCGCTGAAGTCTTCACCTACATGGACCCTTGCCTTGGGCTCTCTTGGGAGTCTGGAGCCCAGTGGCTGGAACCAAAAGGCCAAGGGCAGGGCAGGAGCTTTGGGAGCCAGGATGGCGTCCAATGGCACAGCCCCTTCCTGTGGCCTGGAGTCCACGGTGTTCAAGGTCACCCTCAGCATGGTGCTCGCCGTCCTCATCCTCGTCACTGTTGCTGGCAACGTGGTAGTCTGCCTGGCTGTGGGCCTGAACCGCCGACTCCGCAGCCTCACCAACTGCTTCATCGTGTCCTTGGCGGTCACTGACCTGCTCCTCGGTCTCCTGGTGCTGCCCTTCTCTGCCATCTACCAGCTGTCCTGCAGGTGGACCTTCGGCAGGGTCTTCTGCGACGTCTACACCAGCCTAGACGTGATGCTCTGCACGGCCTCCATCCTCAATCTCTTCATGATCAGCCTCGACCGCTACTGCGCTGTCACGGACCCACTGCGGTACCCTGTAATGGTCACCCCAGCTCGTGTGGCCATCTCCCTGGTCTTCATCTGGGTCATCTCCATCACCCTGTCCTTCCTGTCTATTCACCTGGGCTGGAACAGCGGGAGTGAGGCCAGCAAGGGCAACGACACTACCCGCAGGTGCCATGTGCAGGTCAACGAGGTATACGGGCTGGTGGACGGGCTGGTCACCTTCTACCTGCCTCTGCTGGTCATGTGTGTCACCTACTATCGCATCTTCAAGATCGCCCGGGAGCAGGCCAGGAGGATCAACCACATGAGCTCCTGCAGGGCGGCCACCATCAGGGAGCACAAAGCCACTGTGGCGCTGGCTGTCGTGCTGGGTGCATTCATCATCTGCTGGTTTCCCTACTTCACCGTGTTCGTCTACCGTGGGCTGAAAGGGGACGATGCCGTCAATGAGGTGTTTGAAGCCGTTGTGCTGTGGCTGGGCTACGCCAACTCGGCCCTGAACCCCATCCTGTATGCTGCGCTCAACAGGGACTTCCGCACAGCTTACCAGCAGCTCTTCTGCTGTAGGCCCGGTCACCGTGGCTCCCATGAGGCTTCCCTGAGGTCCCTAAGGCTGAACAACTCTCAGCTGTCACGGAGCCACAGCCGAGGACCCAGGTGGCAGGAGGAGAAACCCCTCAAGCTGCAGGTGTGGAGTGGGACTGAAGTCACTGCACCCCAGGGAGCCACAGACAGGTAAGGCAGCCTTCACACACAGGAGGGGACCCTGGAGGGGTCTTGTGAACAGCAGCCAGGGTTCTGCTACATGGTGGCCAAGATTCTCTAGAAGCATTTCCCAAATGATATCTCATTTAGTTCCTCCAAGGACTCCCTAAAGTAGAACATTTTGCCTCCATTTCAAAAGGATCCCAATAAAGGTCTCAGGGAACTTGTCAAAGGCCACCCAGCTAGGACATGGACAGAGGGCCCTTGCTCCAGAACTCATGGGCCTGTCTGTCTAATTATGTTGTCCTTCCATTCTGGAGACTTAAGTTGGAGGCTCAGCTCTGCCACTTAGGTGTCTTGGTGGAGCTGGGCCTCCAATTTAGGCCCAGCCCCATAACTTACCCCTGCAGTGTAGCACTCAGATAGTCAGGTGCTGATCTGTCACCTGATGGGACTGCTGGGCTAAGGGAGAAACCCACTGTATTCAGCATTGATTGAGCTCCTACTGTGCACCAGCTCTTACCATAGGGTTGCTCAAGTCAGTGGGAAGAGAGGATAGCAGAGTCAGGAGGGGGTCCTCGAAGGCCAGACCAAGAGTGTAGCTGTTTGGGGAAGATGCAAGGGTTAGATAAAAGGCCTGGGGTAACCTAAACAGAACTTTGCTTTGGGAAGAGGACTCTTTTGATGTGAATGAGTTGGGTGAAACCACAGAGGCTCAGGGAGGAGGCTGGGCATTGGTCCAGGAGGGGAAAGAGAAGAAAGCCAAATTGCTGGGCTATTAAAAGAAAGAAGACACTTGCACAAAAGGTAAAGAGACAGAGTGAGATTTAGATAAAGCCACTGGGACAAGCCAGGGAGGGCATTAGGGAACACTGCACCCATGAGCTGAGTGACACTGAGGAAGCTCATTGTGTGAATGACAGCTCCTGATCCCATGTCATCTGTTGATAGCAGTGCAGGAAAGAGTGTTAGTAGAACACCTAGCACGTACAAGTTGTTCAGTAAATGTCATTTTCTTTCTCTTCCTGTAGACTGTGCCAACCATCCATCCATCTACTCAATTATCTCTTTATCCACTCATCCAGCTACCCATGCATCCATCCACCTGTCCATGCATCCACTCAACCATCCCTTAATCCACCCATCCATCCCTTGCTTCCTCCATTCATCCATCTACCCACCCATATACCCATCCCTCCTTCCATCCCTCCAGCCATTCATCCATATATCCATCCACCTATCCATCCATACCTCCTTCCATCTATCCACCCATCCACCCGTCTCTTCTCTATTCCTTCATCCACCTATCCATCTACCCATCCATCTACCCATCCATCTGCCCATCCATCAGTCTACTCAACCGTCCATTCATTTATCCATTAATTCATCCATCCCTCCATTCATCCATCCATCCACCCACCCACCCATCTGTCCATTCACCTATTCATCTACCCATTCACCTCTTCACTCATCCATCCATCCATACATCCACCCATCCATTCATTGCTCATTCATTTATTTGCAAACACTTGTCAGATTTCCATCACATGCCAGGGCCTATGCTGAGGGCCAGGGATGTGGAAGTGATATTCTGTGTGTTGACACTGATGAGAGTTATGGAAGGTGAGCTGCAAGCTCTGCTCTGATCTCTGCCTCACTCACCCTGTGGCTCGAGCAAGTCTTTGTGCTGTTGGGTCTCAATTTCCTCCCATGGGGCCTTCTATCTGTTTCCTGGAGTTGCCTGAAGTCCCCCAGAGCTAGGGGATGTGGACCCAGCAGAACTGGGGTCTGCTGTTGGGGTCTGCTGTTGGGCTCTGAGCATCGCACACTCTATGAGAATGTGGACAGATACTGCAGACCCACACCAGGGCTCTCCTTCTGATGGACAGCTGTGGGCAAACCTGCCTCGCTGGGCCCCAGGTCCCCTTGCATCTGCTACACCCCTGTAGACATGGAGTGTACCCACCGACTTGAGACCTGGGCCCTCCCCACTCCTGTGCTATTGCTTCTGCCTCTGAGCTATTTTGCAGCCTCCCCTCTGGCCTCTTGGCCTCTAGACTGTCCCTCTCAAGTCCATCCTCCCACACCCACCCTCCACCAGGGTATATCCCTGCCCTGTCATGGTGGACCTAATGCCCATCTGATCCCATTCTTCCATGTCCCTTCCAATCCCTCATCCAGAAGGCAGCCTCAAAGACAAAGCTGGTTTATCTCACAGTGCAAAAAAAGAAATAAAACAGACGAGCACACACCAGGGCAGAGGGCCAGAGAGCAGGCAGGTAGCACTTTTTATGTGTTGCTTTGTGTCACTCAGCCCTGTTCCACTCCCAGGCTCATAAGCTGCCTTTGCATTGTCCCGTTACCACCCCATCCCAGAAGCCAAGGTGCACAGGGAGCCAGAGTGAGCCCTGCCCACACTGCTGCTCTGACCCCCTGGAATCACTAATCGTCCAGTTATGGAATAGACGGGCAATTGCTCACAGCAGCAGGTGCCAAAGTTTGAGACTCAGTGTCCCCAGCAATGAGGGACAGTGCATGTCCCTAGGAGCTTGTCCCAGAGAACTGCCTTTTGAGTTGAGCCTTTAAATGCAAACAGAAAGCCCTTCTCACCCAGGAGGGGCTGGACCTCATTCTGTTCTCTGGGAAGGAGGGTCTGTATCCACTCTACAGTTAGGAAACCGGGGCTGGGGAGTTCCAGTAAGTCGCTCCAAGTGTCACAACTGGGAAGAAGCTCCCAAGCTGAGGTCTGAGCAACTGCAGACAGCAGCACCAGCTTCCGGTGCCCTCTGCTCCAGGCACCCCACGAGTTTGCCCATCTGCCTTCTGTCATCTTCACGCCCACCCTTGATGAAGAGCCAAGGCTAGCTAAGAATCACTGCCCACCTGACACAGCCGTGCAGAGCCGGGGACAGAGCAGGGCCTCCTGGAGGCCACAGTCCCTGGGGCAGGGGGCAGAAGGGCTGGGCAGACAAGGGCAGGGTAGGGGCAGTCAGAGGACCTCACACCAAGGTCAAAGGCATGGAAGTTGCAGGAGGCCAAGAGCAGCCAGAGGTCGATCTTCACACTGAGGCTGCCAGAGCCATGGGGCTCCCTGAGGCTGGCTCCGGGCTCCCTGCTGACTGATAGCAGGTCCTTCCTGCTCTCTACTGGGGTCAAGAGCCAGCGCCAACCCGCGGCCCTTATCAATGCCAGGGCTGGGCTGTCTGCCTGAGCCAAGGGTGCTAAAGGGGACCAATTCAGCCTGCCTGGGCAGAGTAGGGGCATGGTCAGCCCAGGGGGTATCCAGAGACAGGGGGCCAAACATGCTGCTGCTCCTTCCCTGTGGCCAGACAGCAGCCCACGTCCCAACATGGACCTCTGTCTGCCCCTTCCTCACCCCAACTCCCCTGGACACCTCCTTGCCTCCTAGGGTCTCTCTTCTCCGTCTCTCCTAGTGAGCTTTCCTGCACACAGATCCCCCACATGGCCTGCTCGGCCACTCCTGGTGAGCTTCCCAGAGCACGGATCCCCTGTTGTCCCCAGGTTCCCACTGAACCTGTCTCCTGCTGTGTACAGCACATCTCTGGTTTTCTTCTTGTGGCTGATGTTAAAAATAACTACCTTTTTTTAAAAAAAAAACTGAAAAACAACACACATTCAGAACTCTGCAGTCAAGGTGTGGGCAGGGCAGTCTTTTCTGGAGAATCCCAGGCAGCATCCCTTGCTGTCCCCAGCACTGGATGCCACCTGTGCACCAGGGCTCATGCCCACCAACTACCCCTACTCCACCTCTCATTTCCACCCTCCCTCCCCTCTTCTGCAAACCGACCTCTTAGAAGGACCCATGGAAGGGCCACCTGAGCAGCCCAGGATGGAGGCCTTTCTTGAATTCCTTAATCCATCAATCTGCGGAGGCCCTGATATCACATAAGGTAACATTCTCTGGCGTTTGGGACTTAGGCCAACCTGCGCCCGTTCCTCAGCCTGCCATGAGCCCCAGCACCAGAGGCTCTTGATGCCTGGGTCCCTGAGCACCTTACCTTCCTGCTCCATTTTCTGACAGCATCCCAAGGCCAGGTCCCTCTCCCACCCTCCCCAGCCAAATCAAAGTGCCCTGCACTCCTTCAGCCAAGGCATTTACCAAGGCCTGCTGGCTGCAGCACTGCTCGGGACAGCAGTGAGCAAGGCAGCCCTCCTGTCCTAGGGAACAGGTCTCTCCATGTTGGACAGCGTGGTCTCCCAGACACAAAGTGGCTGGTGTCCCACAGTCTCAGATGTGGCAGAGCTCGGATTTCAGCGCAGCCTGTCACACTTAGAGCTTGGGCCCTTTCCATAGTAACACACCTGGACTTGAACTTGGCCTGCTCTTGACTGACACTTCAACTCGTCCTCTAGACACCAGAAAGGGCAGCCCAGGCACAGAGAGGCAGGTGACCTGTCTGCAGTGCGAAACAGGCTGAGCGGCTGGGCCCTGCCCAGTGCTCTTTGTGCCCCCCCCACCTCACTGGTCCCTATAATCTCCCAATTCAGAGATATGATTCATGAGTACCTGGCCTATCAGCAGCCTTGGGCACTTCCTCATTCCTCAGTGCCCCTGCACTTGCTCCCCATGGGCGGGGATGCACCCAGACCCCCAGACGCCTGGCAGGCTGCTGTGGTGCTCTGCTCCCTCCTTCAGCCGCCGCCCCCTGCCAGGGAACCATTTCCCACCTGCCATCCCACCTGCCTGCCCACCTCTCTGCAGTCAGAGAGGACATTTCCAAAAGTCCATCAAAGCCGGCTCCACCTCTTCTGTTGCACTTGGACTAAAATGCAAAGTCCATCCCAGCCTCCAAGGCTCTGGACCGGAGTTGCTGCCCTTGCCCCAGCCCACTCACACCCCAAGGGGACAGCCTCCCAGGCCACACCTTGTCCCCATTCAGCCTGCCTCCCTGGGAGGTGCATGCCTGTGCTCTTGGCTGCTGAGTCCTGACACCTCGTCTTGTGCTCAGCCTGGAGCAGGCCCAGGGACTTTTTTCAAACAGATGATGAATGAATGAGTGAGCGAATGTCTTATCCTGGTCCCAGAGGGCCCTGAGAAATGAATAAAGCCACCTGCACTGTAGAGATCAAAAACTGGGTCTCAAAGAGGGAAGCAGCAGGAAGCCAGGGAGAGCTCAGAGATGGCTGGCTCCTTTGCCACCGTGGCATTCCCACACAGCAGCCTCCAGGGACCGCTAGAAATCACTGCACCTCAGGGTGGCGACTGCCTGCCTCCCCAGCCCTGTCATAGACAGAACAAAAAAGTGAGGCTGTGTGCCACAAGCATAGGAAGTGGCTCATACCTGGACTGGGTCCCCTGCACCACAAGGCATGTCCTGTTTGGCCAAAGGTGGAGGGCACAGGAAGGGTGGGGCTGGCTGTCTTCTGCTCCAAACCCAGCCCTGGGGATGCGCCTGCAGCTTCCGTGGGCAGCGGAGCCTGTGTCTGACACACTTCTGCAAAAGAGCTGCTTCTCGGAAAGGAAGTTTCCTCCTGGGGCCCAAGTTGTCGACTCCTTCAAAACCCAAACGTGTCAACTTGTGCAATCCCGCTCACCAACTGGTATGGCTTCTCGGCACATTGATGTTAACATTTCTGAGGAGTTCCTACAAATGCTTTGGCACGTGAGCCTTAGCAGCTGCCCTCAGACTAAAGGTTGAAGGCTGCCCCTCCTGCATCTGGACCACAGCTGGCCACCTGCCTCAAATAGGGGCTTTTCAGCTCTGCCTCTGGTTCAGGCTGCCCGGGGTTTCTCCTGAAGCCGGGTCGGGCAGAACCCTGTGGGTCATGGCCCCTGCTGGCTGGAGGAGCCACTCACCATCTGAGGGGCCTGTCCTGACCTACAGAATGGTGGCAGGGGTCTACCTCGGCAGGCCAGTGGGACAAGAGTGAGGAGAGCAGGCAGTAACACAGTCCCTGCGCCCCCAGCCACCTCTCCTCCTGCCTCCCTCCCAAGGCCCTTTCCTCCTTTCTCTGACTCCTACATGCAGTAGTCCAACCCTCTACAGCTCACCCACTGAAAGTATGCTCCACACTCAGTATGCTCAGAATTGGGTAGCCATCCTTACAATCAAGTTTGGAACATTCCATCACCTCAGAAGAAACCCTGTGCCCTTTAACTGTCACCTCTGATTCCCACATTCCATTCCCTGTGTTCCCCGCCCCCCCTCCGCCCCCCTTGTGCCCAGGAGCCTGACCCGCTTTCTTCCTGTAGATTTTCTTGTTCTGGAGGATTCACATCCGACGTGGTCTTTTGTGTCCCACTCAGTTTCCAAGGCTTGTCCTCACCACCTTTTCCTTCTTCTGCTCCTTTTTATGTTTGCCATGCTCAGATCCTCCCGTCCTCCCATCCTTCTCATCCTCCATGTCCTCCCCATCCTCTTCCTCCTCTCTGTCCTCCCTGTCCTCCTCCTCCTCTTCTACATCCTCTCTGTCCTCCCCATCCTCCTCCTCCACATCCTCCCCGTCCTCCCTGTCCTCCCTGTCCTCCCTATCCCCTCATCCTTCCCATCCCCCCATCCTCCCCGTCCTCTCCTTTCTCCCCATCCTCCCCCACTACCATCCCACTTCTCCTTCACAAGTGCTCAGGCTCCATTGGCACTTCTTGGCACTTTCTAGGCCTGGGTGGAGGACTCCAGGTGGGAGGTTCTATCACACCCACCCCAAATCCCCAACTCCTTGCCAGGAGGACTTAGGGTGACCCTCCCCAGAGCCTGCCTTCTGCACACGGGCCAGCAGAGCAGACAGCTACAGCCAGTTAACCCACGTCTTCTGTCTCTTCAGAGAGTTTGGGAAGTGAGACCCTCCAGTCCCAGGAGGTGAGGGAGAGGAGAGCAGAGAGGAGGAGGGGAGCCCTTCGCAGCCTCAGAGGTCAAGGAGAACACGCCGTGGCCCCCAGGAGACTGGAAAGGTAGAGAACTTGCGCTCACCATCTGTGGTGGCTTTGCCAGCTAAAAGCCCTGGCATGGCCTGGCTGGTCCCTCTGTCTCCCAGAGTGCCCCTGCCCAATCACCTCCTAGCTCCTGGCTCCTTCCAGGACAATCTGGCTGAAGCTGCAGGGCTGTGATTGAAGGAAGAGAGCTGAATCTCCAGGCCACCGCAGATATCTTTGACCCCAAGAAAAGGAGCATCTCCTTTCCCCTCAGGGCCCTTCCCTCGGGGACCCAGCCCTAGGACACAAGCTTGGCAGTCACAGGGAAGGCTGGACTCAGCTCCTCTTGACCAGAGCAGCCCAGTGCAATCCTGCTGGCATGGGAGAGTCCGTCCCTGTGGGTCATACGGGAGAGAGCTGGAGAGAGCGTGACCCAGGGCAGGGTCCCCAAACTTCTTCTGCAAAGGAGCAGATAGTGAATCTCACACCCTAAGCCCACATTCCGTTTCAGCCACTGCCCCATAGGCCCTCCATCCTCACCGACTGCATGCAGGACGATGATCCCGTGGGGGTGGGCTGAACAAGCTGCCCAGGCTGGCAGCCTCTGTGTGGTAGAATCCACCCCGCTGGGTGTACCTCACACTCTGAGGCTCACAGAGGCCGAGGGTGCCTGATGATATGGTTCTCAGGACATGTCTGTCACCAAACAGCACAGGGCCATACCAACTCTGCCACTGTAGACAACACATAAACTGATTGGTGGCTGTGTTCTGATAAAACTTTACTTATGGACACTAAAAGTTAAGTTGCATAGCTTCTTCATGAGTCATGAAATGTTATTCTATTTCTTAATAACTAGATGTTAGGCTTGATTTGGTCTCTGGGCTGTCATTGGCCAACCCTGGCATAGGAGAAAGAAATGAGTACCAATTCAGCCCCTTGCTCTGTGACAAGGAAGTGCCTTGCCTTCTCTGAGCCTCAGTTTGCTCATCTGCAAAACGGGGATTAAAATGCCACCCTGGGAAGACTGTGGTGAGACTTTAGCTGCAATTTTTGCAAGGTGCCTGGTACAGCGTAAGTGCATAGTGAACAGCAGCTTTGATCATTGTTCTTCCCATGGCCTCTTTGCAGAGAAGCAGCTGGAAAGTCTGGGGCAGGCTCTATGAACTGTGTCCCAGCTGTGCTACTGAAGCTGGGTCCTGACCCCAAGACTCATGTCCCTCATCTGAAAATAGGGGACTTGGATTAGCTTCAAGGACCATTCCAACATAACTATATATAAATGCTTGACAAGGGACACAATTATGCCCACACCCTGGACCCTGCTATGTCAAGAATCTCCTGGCAAGGGGCAGGAGAGCCTGTTTCTTATGCTAATGAATTGCTCAGAGTATGGAGGCAAATCCAGTGGAATGTGTCCTTGTCACAATTTGAGTTGCAGGTGCTGGAGCTGTGGCAGGCCAGGCATAGGAAAGCTCTCAGAGAGCCCAGCCTCAGGGGTGGGGGACCTGGGTTTCTCCAAGCCTCTGCATGGGGTTTATGGCTGTATGACCTTGAGAAGGTTGCACCCCTCTCTGAATTCTAATTCTCTCATGTGTAAATAAGAGATTCTGACAACTGTGCCTACCCCTAAGCAATGAATCTCAGGGCTCTCTGCTTTGGGGTGACACTGGTGTTTACTGAACTCACAGTGGCTCTTTGTGACAGAGTATTGGGGTGCTGGGGTGTGCCTGAGATCCAGAATGGCAGGCAGGGCCACCACACCATCAGCATGTTCACTTCCCCTGAGGCTGATCCTGCAGACAGCTGCCAAGCGTAGGGAAGGCCCTGCAGACTGGGCGTCCTGGGTCAATGGATGAGAAGGTTCTCCTTTGTCCAAGGTCTGCCATCATTACAGGGGGGCTGACAGTCGGTCAGTGGCAGTCCCTTCCCACACTGAATCAGGAGATGGAGTGTTTAGAAGACTTGATTGTTGAAATGGAGTGAGCACCACTGCCCTGGCCAGGTGAGCCAATGGGGTCAGCTTACCCAGGAGCCAACTGACCTTGGGCACTGCCCCCACACTCTTTATCTGTAAAAGGTGTGGCTAGCACCCATTGGAAGGATGGAAGGGCAGAGATTAGTACCAGCATGGGGGGGTCCGGAGACCACTGGTTCAGGCCAGTGTGGGGTGGGGTGGGGAGTTCCTGCCCCGGCAAAGCACTTCTCAGTCTCTGCCTTTCGTCCTCTTTGCACTGTTTTGCTGTGATAGGAAACTGAGAGTATAGAGGAAACTCTGTGGCCACCATCTTTGTGCAGAGAGACTCTGATTTGTTGAGCTTATTTTCCTAGAAACTGGGTTTCTGGAAACAGAGTCACTGGCTGACGGGAAGGGATATTTTAAACCTCTATTCACCCTGCCTGTTCCCAGGACCAGCCACATGGCTTCCGTCACCAAGGTGTCACTTCCACAAAGCCACCTGCAAGTGGGTGCTGGAAGTGCCATGGAGGATGACTGGGGCAGAAGGACAGACCACAAGGAGAGGCCCTGGGGTGTGAGGTGGGCAGGTGCAGGGAAAGGGGCAGGGAGACTGAAGGAGCCCAGGAGGGGGTTCTGAGGGGGGCCCTGTCCCACACCGGAGGCGTGGGCCATCAGAGACTGTGGGCCCAGCATGCCCAGGGAGGATGCAGCGCATAGCAGGCCTGGGGCCATTCCCACTCAACTGTCACCACTAGGTGGCGACGCATGGCTGGCCTGTTTCCCTGTCTTGAACTGGGCAAGCACCTTGATGGCCTCCGGGGGATGGGAGGTAGTGAGTGACCGAAACCGACTGGAAGTGTCTTGGCCCTCGGGGACTTTGTCCATCAGCTCCCACTGGCATGAGTGGCCCGAGCTTCTAGATGTTCTCCAATTTTAAAAAAGAAATCTGATTCAAGACAGGGTTGGTCAAGCCAGCTGCCTCAAATAGAGGCCGTTGGAGAGTTTGAGCGACTGGGCAGGGTGAGCCCAGGCCAGGACTGGGGAGCTGAGTGTGACACAATTACCAGGGAGGAGGAGTGGGGTGAGGGCTTCTCTGAGCATGCTCCTTGCGCTCTGGAGGAGGGTGGGCAGGAGCTTCCAGCATGGCAGCGGGGCCAGCCTGGGCCCTCCAGGGGCTGTGCTGTACCCTTTATTTGCTGCGAGTTCTGGGAAAATGACCCAAGTTCCTCCTCTGTCAGAGGTGACATAATAATGTGTCATGTATGTCACATGTGTGTTGGAAGTTACATGAGACCTGGCATGTTAAATGCCGCAGCCTTGGGCACTCTCATTGTGGGTTACTCAGCAATCCGAGTCCACAGCAGGAACTGGATGGCAGGGAGGCAGGGGAGGGCCGAGCGGGAAGCCACGCTCCACAAGCCTTCATTCTCCTCCAAGTTATGTGCCCAACAAGCTGTGACATACCCAGCACTAGCTTACCAGCTGGGTGACCTTAGGCAAGTTTTCTAACTTCTCTGGGCCTATTTCGCCTCTCCTCTGTGATGAGGAAATTGATAATACCTGCCCGGTGGGTTAGTATGTCAGGGTCCTGAGAGCCAGGCCTGCGCACACGCTGCTCTGAGGGTGGTAGTTTTTCTGTGGCTGCTCTTGGGACTCAGTGCACAGGGTTTGGACCCAGCATACGGGGCATGGAGTCAGCATGTGTCCTCGGTCAGGTCACTTACCCCGTGGAGGGCCAGTTCCTCCTCTGTGAAGATGTGGGGGGTGGTGCTCACCTGGCAGGGCTGCTGAGAGAGGCCCATCCAAGCAGAGGACATGCTCAACATGCATGCTGAGCCCTACCCTTTACCTAGAGCTCCAGAGAGGACTCCACCAGGCTGCGCAGCCACCCCCTGCAGCCTGTCAGCGGTAGGGCACACTCCTGGACAGAGAGTGCTGGGCAGCGTCTGTTACTTCACAGAATAGCCGAGATCATCACCTTAGAAGTGGGAGACATTGACTTTGGCTTGTGGTGTCAGAGGTTTCATGGTCAGCTGGCCACGTTGCTCCTGAGCCTGTGCAGGCTCAGTATGTCCTGGCACATGGTGGGGCAGGGCCGTCACCTCATGGCAGCTGGAAGCAAGAGTGAGCCAGAAAGGGGCCAGGGTCCCAGTGTCCCCCTCAAGGACTGCCCCAGTGATCCAACCTGGGTCCCACTCCTGCAGGACCCACCACCTCCCAATAGCACCACAGACAGGTGACCCAGCCTTTAGCGCGGGGTCTTTAGGGACATTGCAGATCCAAACTATAGCAGAGGAACAAATTCCCTTCTGCCCCTGGACACTCACTGCCCCACACAGTTGTAAAATCTCAGAGAATGTCCTATCCAGGCCACAGACTGAGGCCCCCTACCTGGTCAATTCCTAACTCCTCTACTCCACAGCCTTCAGTAGTACCCAGTGCCTGTCAGATCTCACCAGCCTCTTCAGGCAGGCTGTCCCCTGCTGGCTGCAAAACCCTGCACCTCCCCTCCCTCTGCATCCCACATTCCTCTCTGTCCTCAGAGCACAGCTCCCAGCGCATGCCGTTCCCTCTGCCTGGAGAACCCCAACGGCCCCCAACACT